CCAGCGCCAGCACTTCAAGGAGGCCGAGGTGCGCGTGTACGGGGGTGAGATCGTGCTGGCCTTGGAGCATCTGCACCAGGTGGGTGAGGGCCCGGCCAGGCGGTTGCCGTGGGAACTGGGCCCGCGGGTCGGGGGCCTGGGCTCCTGGGCCTCTCCTCGGGCTTCCTGGGGGCCGCCGGGTGGCGGCCTCGCTGGCTTCCCAGGCCTCCTTGCAGGAGGGCTCAGCGCTGCCTGGGGGGCTTCCTCCCCGGCATCTCCTCGAAGGGGCTTTCCTCTCGCAGGGAGCTCGGTTGCGTCGACAGAACTTCCTCAAACGGAGACCTCATGCCATGGCTCCCGAGGCCTCCCTGAAATGGGGCCCTTCTCACAGACTTTCCCGTGTCTGGGACCTCGGGGCCTGTCCCGTGGGGCCCTCCTTCCTGAATTTATGTCTTAAATGGTGACTGGACATGGTAGCGCATGCCCGTAATCCCAGCACTGTGGGAGGCCGAGGCGAGAGGGTTCCTTGAGTCCAGGAGTTTGAAACCAGCTGAGCAACACAACAGGGCCTTATCACTCCAAAAAAATAAGTAAATTTAGCTGGCGTGGTGGTCGCAGCTATTCAGAAGGCTGAGGCGGGAGGGTCACTTACGTCCAGGAAGTCGAGGCTGGGGTGAGCCGTGTTCATGCCACTGCATGGTAGCCTGGACAGCAGAGTGAGACCCCAAATTTAAAAAAGGCCTTTCGGTGGCCCAGCGCTGCCTGGAGACAGATGACCTTCTCTGGAGCGTGGGGGTCCCCTTATCCAGAGCGGCGACAGGAGTGCAGGAACTGGGGAGGGTCTTGGGGGAGGAAGCCTCAGTGCCCGTCTTGCGCTTGCCAGCTCGGCATCATCTACCGAGACCTGAAGCTGGAGAACGTACTGCTGGATTCTGAGGGCCACATCGTCCTCACGGACTTTGGGCTGAGCAAGGAGTTCCTGACAGAGGAGGTGAGTGGACACCGCGGCGCCCCGTTCGAGGTTTCTCCCTCCGGCTCTCCCTGTCCCGGGCTTGTGTTCTGGGGTGCAGAGGCGAACGGTCCCGGAAAGTCCCCACTGCTCAGCGCTCCGGCCTCACGAGCTGTGTGCATCCGAAGCTGATCCGGGGGGGGTTGAAGGGGGGACCACCGGGGCCCAGGGGAGGCTCAGATGTCCCAAGGGGTCCCTCTTGTCCCCCCAGAAAGAGCGAACGTTCTCCTTCTGTGGCACCATCGAGTACATGGCCCCCGAAATCATCCGCAGCAAGGCTGGGCATGGCAAGGTGGGTTGGCAGGAGAGCGGGGGTGGCGGGTGGTGGAGGGGGCCCGGCAGGGAGGCCGC